TGTTCCTTTTATTGTGCGGAGCCCCTTAGCTCAGCTTTTTCGTTTTCTGGTCTTCGCCCGAGATAAAAGTTGACGAACTTCGGACAAGGTACATGTGAAAAGAATTAAACGGTAAAATAAACGTAAAAATAAAAAATGAACAATTATTATAAATAATAAACAATAAAAATGTGAATGTAAATAAATCTTCGGACAAGGAACATGGGAAAAAAATTAAACAGTAAAATAAACGTAAAAATAAAAAATGAACAATTATTATAAATAATAAGCAATAAAAATGTGAATGTAAATAAAAGATAAATAAGATGCATAAACAAACAAATAAATAAATAAAAATGCGAAATGTGCCATTTATATTTATTTTATATTTATTTTTTTTTAATTTACATTGTTGGATATATTAGAAACTGGTCGCTTGAAAAAAATATATATGTATATACAATATATCGAGTACTGGTTTTTAATGATATGCACGAATCTCCGAAATGACGCAACGTCATATCGTGCTATCGTTTTTTGTTGCATCGGCCGTCTCTCACGGCGACGAGCGGTACATTATTTCGCGGCGGATTACGGACGTAGATGTTAATTATTAATCGTCAATTGTGCAATTAGCGCCACAGTTGCAACGTATCCTGATCGATAAAGCGCGTCTCAGAATATATCGCGCGCGCGGCTCGTAATTTTATTTCGTATATACGTACGTCGATGGAATTATAATCTACGCGAAATGACACACACGTGCTGTATCCTTCTTCCTCTTTTACCGTTTTCTCTCTCTCTCTCTCTCCTTCGTTCCCTTTCTTTCTCTCTCGCTTTCGACGGTCTCCGTGGAGCAAAACGCGCGAAATATGTAGATGCGACTCAACGAATGAATCTCGTTGCAGGCAACCGTTGGAGAATCGAGTGAAACACTGGTAATTCTACGGCACCATTAATAATTCGTCGTAGAGCCGTCATACGGAACTTCAGATACGGTGATGTTCCCGCTAGAGAAAATTCAGGGGATTCGTTAATCAAATTTTGCGGCGACTGGGAGATCCGGAGGTAACATCGTGAAACATTTATACGTATCACCGCTATTACCTCGGCGAATATGCGGAGACTTCCGTTTAAAAAAAAAGACAATGGAAAAAAAGAGGAAAATAAAAACTTAACACGCTGTTAAGGTAATTGCGAGAAAGTGAGACTTAAATATTAACAATAACGAAATTCACGTTGCAGCTGAAGTATTTGAGTCGTACACAACGTGTAGACTGTCTAGAGTAAAGAAATGTATATGAATCGGTCGTTTTACGAAATTACATGAATCCACATTTCTATGAAAATCAGTCGCCAGTACTACATCAAGGCAACGGCTCCATTTCCTGCTCAAATAACATTATTTCGAGTATTCCCTGTGTGTTTCGTGAGTAAGTATGTCGAATCTAAGAGCTATTAAGATAGATATACATCAAACGAATGAACAATGGACGAACGACGAACGCGCATAAGTACTTTCAGTATGAATGCAAGAGGAAGCAAAACAACATGAAATACGAATACTTTCACCATTTTTTTCTTTTATTGTTTATTATCTTGCATTGACTTATTATCTATAAACGGATAAAATAAAAAATAGAAGATCGAAACGCTAAAAAGAAGGAAAAACAATTATAATAATTGATAATATAATTTAAGTCCGAATCTTGAATATTGAAAATTAAACATTTGCAACTCCGTACATTCGAATTTGCGTCTTGATTTCACATCGTATAAAAAATATGTACGTTTTATTTACTTGCACGGGAATTATTGTTTTGTCGAAGTATCTAAAAACTTAGTAAGATACATATCTGAAAATAATTTTATTGTACCATTAAAATAATTACGCAATAATCTCAAACTCGATGAGCAATGCTGTAAAAAGTTTTGACATTCTAACAATCAATTTAAGCATCCTACATAATTATTTTGATGGTCCAACCAAATAATTTTGAGATCCGTATCTACCTAAATTTTTAGATATTTTAGCAAAATCGTTTTTAACAAAATCTACACTGAAAATAAAATATCTTAATTTCAAAGAAATTTTCATTAATCCAAAAAAAGAAATAATTTTTTTTAATACGAGCAAAGAAATATTTCTTTGAAATTAAGATTTTTTTTCAGTGTATGTATGGAGAGAACAATTTTGCTGAAATACCTAAAAATTTAATTAAATACATCTAAAAACGATTTGTAGCCATAAAAATAATTATGTAGGATTTGAAATTAGTATACATTAAGACGTTCAAGCTGGTTCCTTATATTAAAACTTTTTGCAGCATTACTCATCATATTTGAGCATCCTACATTACTATTGTATTTTGATAGTCCAATAAAATTATTTTTAGATCTGTATCTAGCTAAATTCATAGATACTTCAGTAAAATTTTTTTCCGCGTGTGCACTTTGCAAGAACACGCGCAATAAACATACGTTTCCAATCGACGATGAGCCACAATTGCATGAAGCAACATTCGCCGACTAATTAGGCGAATTGCGAGGAAACTCGAATTTATGTGTCCCTGTGAGTGAAACGGATTATCGATTTCGCACGCGGTGGATAATAGCAACTAGCCTTGCGTTCGGAGACGACGGTGCGCGATAGTTTCTCGCGGCAGCTCCGCGCGCCGCTCCTGCGTCGCTACTCTAACCGGCGCAAACTTCCATAACTTCATTGCTGGATAGAATTGAGTTTCTGCGGCTCGAGATAAACGGCCAATGCGAGACGTCTAATTCAGGATATTATTTTAAACGTCATTGACTCTCGATAAGAAGGCTAACATTTGGACCCCGAAGCACTCCATCCACTTCACGCCTCTTCCTCTCGTCTGTCGAGAGGTGCCGTGTCAGCGAGATAAAAGAAGAGCCGACTCTCGTTAACTTATGGAGTATGGAGCGTTTGAGTGAATTCGATTAACGTTGATTGGTATACGGTAAGAACGGTTTTGCTAAAGTTATCTAAAAACTTGGCTAGATACAGATCTGAAAATAATTTCGTTGGACTATCAAAATAATTATATAGGACGCTCAAACTGGTTGTTATGATATCGAAACTTTTGCAGCATTGCTCGTTATATATAGATACTTAGCAAAATCGTTCTTCTGAGTACGCTATTATTACAATCAAAATATATTTTCACACATATATTTACGTAATTAATTTAACAATAGACAAATATATTAAACTGATTAAGCGATTAAAAATTTAATTGAAATCATACACTCAGGCAATTCACGAACTCTGCGTATCATAACTTTCGATTAACAATCATACAGGGTCGACGAGGATCATCCGGAAAGACAAGTGTTAAACTATTCGTATCTGCAAAGTCTCTTGATAAAGAGAGCGAAACGGTAGAGTCGGAAGACATTCCGCAAAACATTTTTACTCGCCGTTTTCCGCGCGTAAGAGGATTAAATTAAAATGCTAACATCGAGAAATCGCTTTCATCTTTATGAGATTGCCCGGCGTACGCTTTGCAAGCAAAAGGGGGAAATGCGAGGGAGAAGGAAAATGCAACGCGGATACTGTCGGGATGGTTCGTACTAGCGAAGAGAGAATCGATCGATCGAATTATCTCGCTAAATCAGTGAGCAGAGAGGACCGATACGCGTAGCTCTCGCCGAAGATTTCTACGTCATGAAATGCAATCGGACCCATCTCGCGCTTAATTGACTTCGTTAACGCAACCGATTGCAGAGCGAGAGAGAAAAATACAGAATGGAAGAGAGGGAGAGGGAGGGGGGTGGGGGAGGGGGGGAGAGAGAGAGAGAGAGACACTTTGTAACCTGCGCCGACAATTGATGATGACGGTTCATCGTACATTCAATGTCATTATCGGTTGGCCTTTTCACTGCTTTTAGTGTTAAAATAGGTTGATTTGCAATAGGAGTTAGGATAGTAAAATAGGTTTGATTACAACCATATCATCAAAGTAGGTTTTATCTAGTTTATAGAACATTTAAATAGGTGCAAACTATCCTTAAGAATGTCAAAGTAGTATCAAAATTTCGACTCGGGTCGTGTAATGAAATCTCTGCGCGGAACGTGATAAACGATTACCGATCTTTGCCGAAACGCATTGATAGGCGGACCTGCGTGAATGGGCATGCAAGCGGGCGAGCGAGTGTACGCAAATAAACGCCGTAATTAACCGGCTTACAATTAGGCTTACGACGACAAACACGCGCGTAAACTGCGCAGTCCCTGGCGCGGTCACGCGGCGAACCACCTGATGATTCGGCAAGATTTCCGCGGGTAATCGCGTCATGGACGATTGCATTCCGCGGCTGTGGCCATACTTTACTCTCGTTCGCGTATTCGAGGCGGTTGGGAAAGGGGCGAGATGGGGCGAGGGGAAGGATGAAAAATCGTCTGTATAATGCAATGTCTGTATTTCCATTAAAAGCTGCGAATAAATATGTTCAGCACGCGAGAGGAGAGCCAAACAATCGATAGACGAATGGAGATATTTTCTCTGCTCTGGGAATTAAATTCCTCTAAGTCGAGCAATAAGAAGTATAAATAAGATTCGAGTAACCTT